CCACGTCGATGTACAGACTGACTGAGTTTGGTTTTACCCCGCTTTTAGCAATATTCCAGCAACATCACGGCGGGGGACACCAGAAATGGGCTTTACACATAGTACCCATGTGGGGATTCGAACCCGGGTCTTCTGCGTGACGAGCCAACGCTTTAACCATTAGGCTACCCCACCGCCCCTCGATGTACAGAACTGATTAAAGCACTTAATCGACAAGTGACTTCAGTCGCACACTTGGTTCGGATATCATGTCTATCGGGTTGGTTCATTGAATCAATTACACGATCCATAATGTGATAATGCACAATATGTACCTGAGTATCCATCATTAAATACGCCAAAATGTATGAAAACCGAACTGTGGTGAACGCTAGTCAATACATAAATGCATGGAGAATTTCATCTGGAGTTGCATTTGTTGTAAGGGGCATTGAGTCATCAATTTATACCAAGGTTGTACATAATAGGAGACACATGGGCCTGGAGGCTATGTCTCCTGCCCTTGATTATCAAGCACTTTGTAATCAGACCCATGTTGTGCTCTCATTACCGAAGAGGGGCACATCGTAACTGCCGCAATATTACACATGATGCTATAACTAGGAGTCCGGCAGATACATATACTGTAGCTTAAGGGATGATTTTGTTAGGGATAACCAACAAGTAACCATACCTTCATTAACCAGGCGCCAAGCAGACACATATCCTGTTGCTTGAGGTATTATGTTTAGCATAACGCATATGTTTGTTTGTTGTTTACGCCGCACTCAGCAATATTCCAGCTATATGGCGACAGTCTGTAAATAATCGTGTATGGTCCAGACAATCCAGTGATCATCAGCATGAGTATCGATCTACGCAATTGGGAACCGATGACATGTGTGAACCAAGTCAGCGAGCCTGACCACCCGATCCCGTTAGTCGCCTCTTACGACAAGCATGGGTTACTGAAGACCAATTCTAACCCGGGTCTTGACGGGTAACGCATAACTACCACTACTACTACCACTAACGCATAACTACCACTACTTCATACAAAAATAAATGTTCGATCGAATCTCCAGTAGCGCAGTCTGAAATGTAAGCAAATAGAAAAGTTAGTGAAAGTAAATAAGACACATATAAGCTGCAAGACAATTCCATAAAGTACGTTCGTAATGAGTGAGAATCTTTGATTTAATTCCATTATTCTTGGTAGAATTGGATCAGTCATACGGCACGCGTAGTTTGTGAGATTGAAAAAGCGTTAACAGTTCTGTTTTTCCTTAAATTGGCTCATTCGGGCCATCGCTTTATCGCCCTGAAGAAATCAAGGCGATATCGCGACAATGCGATAGTACGACACGATATTGCGATATGGCGACACGATACAGCGATATTGCGATACAGCCAAAAACGAAATAGCGAAATCACGACACGACATGGCGATAACAAGACACGATATGGCGATAACACGACACGAAATGGCAACAACTCGACACGAAATGGCGATAACAGGACACGATATGGCGATAACACGACACGAAATGGCGATCGACACGAAATGGCGATAACACGACAATATGGCGATAACACGACACGACATGGCGATACGGCGATATTGCGATATAGCGATTCTGCGATATTGCGATACGGCGATATTGCGATACGGCGATATTGCGATATTGCGATACGGCGATATTGCGATATTGCGATACGGCGATATTGCGATATGTTCACTTGTTAGATCTGCGCATGCTCAAACGGAAAACGAGGCTCATTCGCCATTTGCAAAGTAAAGGGAAACGGGTATGTATTTTCTTACTGAATGTCCTACAGTATAACACTCATTTGTTTTCATGTGCATTGATTGTTTTTGTTGTTATAAACAGACGAAAAAACGATGCTAAACTTTGAGCATCCCGCATACCACTTTGAATGTACACAACGTATACAAGAAGATTAGACTTGTATTTCCACATAATATGCATAATCGTGTGTAAGCTTAGGACTGCGTATTGATTTGTTTTATCTGACACTCTTTGAAAAAATAACTTGTTCAAAAACCCATTTCTACATTGAAATATTTGCATCCAAATGGAATAAGGTAAGCCAAATTTTCTCATTTTGGCTAGCTATGCTAATAGTGTGTGAATGCGACCTCACGAAGTTTTACTATGTTATGTTAAGTACGTGGGTCTTCAGCATACAGTGTTGTTTACTCTTTATTATAGAAATCATCCAAAGCAAGTTGAGGGGAAACTAAAGCACTGGACGAAAGTGATACAAATGTCTCAGTTTGAAAGTGATTTTCCTCAAGGCTTTCTCTGTTTTACATCCCACTTGGAATTTGTCCAAGCTGCTAGCTTTTGTGGAGACAATAACCTAGATGTCATTGACTCGTATGAGATCAATGGTTTCAATCTGTTAATATTTTTTGATGAAGCTGATTTGTTGCTATGCAAAACATTCTGTCTCGATCAATTCTTTACGTTCCTTGTCTACACTGTGACATCATCAATTTATTAAAAGGTGAGTAGTAACTGGACATAATGTACAGTTAAGCTTACAGAGTTTAACAAATCAGGACAAAACCAATTAAACTATTTATGTTTTCAAGAAAACATTCTTACTGCAGTTTATTTCAAACCGCATTGTGCAGTATTCATTGCAAAGCGCGGCATTGTGGCATTTTACAAATAACGCAAAGATACCTTAAAAAGGCAATTGGGCTCATGGTTCTAAGCAACCTAAGCTTCTTCTGCATCTCGAAATGGTACCTGAATAACCACCCAAAATGACTCTGACTGACCCAAATGTTGACTTCATTCTCATGATACTAACCATAACAAAATACACTGAGTAAACACTCACTACATTCCACTGCTTCAATGCTTTGATTTAATATCAAGTATATCACTGAACAATGTCATCTTAAACATGGAATTATTTCGCTTCTGGTTCGGATCCCGATAGCTTGTTCATTGGTGCTTTTGTCCAGGTGAGCTTCATGGCTGGTGTCACTAGTAATTGTAAAATATTTTCTTTTAACCACCGACATTGGAAACCGGTAATATGTGACCAAATACAGAAGATAACACTGGTTGTTTGAGTGGATTTTAAGTGTGTTATATTATCGCTTTAGTTAATGTTCCTGTGTTAGACTTTGATTAAATTATGCAGTGTCAAAACGTTGGACTGTTAAAGTTATATTTATCAGACTGAAACACTGTGTTTCCGGAAAAAGGAACAGGCCCTGTCAGGTTTCTGTGAGTTGTGCACCTATAAATGGAACCTGTAGTCATTTTCTTGATGTTCAGGTGGTCAAATAGAATAATAATGATGTACAGTAATTAAGTCAATACTTTCGTGTAGTTCAGGTTATGATAGCTTTAGCTATTGAACACACTGGCTCTGCTAATTTCAGTCACTTGACAGTTGCAACTTCAACTCATGACATGCTGAAATTAGATTGAAACAAGTTTATAAATATACTGATGAGAGGAGGATGTTTCATTCTCGTGAAGGCATTACATGTTAAAACCTTACTTTGCACATACATATGTTTATTTGTCTGATCATCATATGGTGACACTTACAGCCGTTTAATATTAATGTTGATGATGCTGACGGCGCCCTACTGTAATGCTGGAGGAAAGGGTGTCAGTCAAGCAAAGTGTCATTTACATAGCGCCTTGAGTCGTCTTTTGGAGATGTTTCTGAAAGGCATGTATATATCCAGTGTGTTGCACAGGATAGCAACCTAAACTGACTCATTTGCTTGCATGAAATCGGCTGGCCTGAAAAGTGTACGAGGTTTCCTTTTCGTTGATACATTTTATGGCACATGCTCATCCTGATGTGTAACACACACATACACACAACACACACGCACACACACACGCACGCACGCATACGCATACATGCATACATACATACATACATACATACATACATACATACATACATACATACATACATACATACATACATACATACATACATACATACATACATACATACATACATACATACATACATACATACATACATACATACACATACATACATACACACACATACATACACACCTTTATGCCTGTAGACATGCAGATTTGCCTGTATACATATATAAGCACAAAGTAAATTGTGGAATGTTTATCCTTACAGATTACTTTGATCATGTCAAGGCCTGTTATGGGTAATTTGTTCGTGTTGAAGTTGGAAGACAAACACTATTTGGAAGAGTTTAACCTTCGAAGTGTTTATGAAGTTGTCAGTTATTCCAATGGTTACCTATTCAGTTTCAAGTGCTTATCTGCCTACATTCTATCCAAGTTGATGTTGGCAGAGAGGAAAACGTATTTTCTAAGTTTTTGAGAGGTTTGTGTTGACTGTCAACTTTGGTACTTATAATAGGGGTACAATTCACTATACAGGCGCAAGGCGCGATTTAAGAATGTTTATGTTGGTTGCACAATTTGCAACCTCAGAGAGAAGCAGGCTTCGAAAAAATGCATCATTGATTTTGCTACCCTTATATATTAAATTAGTAAGCACAGCCCCTCTTATAGAGGAACACTTGCTGTAATTCTTTGTAGTTCTATTTCCTCAGTGGATACCGTCAATCTCTTTGGCGAATCATACACCGTAGTCTTCCCACATAAGCACAAATGTATTGTCCGACAGATTTTGAAAGTATATAAAATAGATTCATGTAATATATATAATAGTTAGTGAGGGAGTGAGTATAGTTTTACGCCAATAGCATATTCCATCAATATGAAGGCGAGGGACACCAGAAATGGGCTTTACACATTGCATCCATGTGTGGATTCGAACCCGGGTCGGCGGCATGATGAATATATATAATACAAAAATAGATGACAGAATAGCATGAGTGATATATGAACGTTATTAAACTAATGATGTACATACGGAATTTAGATATGTTTTTGTGCAAAATTATGAATCAGTAAATATGAAAATGAATTACGTTCCTTGTGATCTTTTTTTTCAGCATGGATGAAATTCTTGAAGAACTCAACCTGTCATCACTGAAAAAGAACTTTCAGGACAACAAGGTATGGAAAAGATCATGTTCATTTTTCTTATTTCGTACGTCTATGGTTTATGATCTATTGCACCTATTCTACGTTTCTCTTAAGGTTGATCCTACAGACGTGCTGTCTTTGACTGAGGAGGACTTTAGAAGTCTTGGCGTGCAGACAATTGGGGAAAGAGCACGATTAAGACAGAGGTGCAAGAATTTAGTTTCCGGTAAGATTATCAGACCAATTAATCCGTAATTCATGAGTGCTGATTATGTCATGTTACGTTCAAATAATAATATATCGGCGTTTGACAATTTATTAACTTTTCCAGAGTCTATGTCAGAATCACCAGTTGTTCAACGTCTCCGGATGTTTCAGTCTCAACGTAGACAACGGGTATTGTGGCAATTTCTTCTTACTCATTCATCATATAAATCAAAGCAACTAAATATATTCTTATTAGCAAATTTGTATTGCAAACAATTGTACACACAGATAAAGAACCTGGTATTAGTATCGTGCTCATTTTTCTAAACAATGAATATTTGCTGTTGCTATTTGTTGCACATACTTCTGCTCATATTGATTTGGAAAAACGTTCGTGACGATAATGTCGCTATTATTTCAAGGTGAGTTGGAGAGGTCCAAACTCTGCTGCATCACGATCGACAACCAGACGACTACATATCGGTTGGAAACATAAATCTCGAAGCACGTACACCCTGGTTAGTGCAGGCAAGGGTGGCGGTTCTCAGACTTTTGATGCAGATAAAAATCTGACTTTAACAGACCTTGAAAATAAGGTCATAAGCATTTATTTTCCAAGTGGTGTAAACCAAAGCCAAAACCTTGAGATCTCTAACCTGACGTATCACTTGGCTCACTTTAACGGAAAAAAGCTTCCGAACAAGATCAATAACGAAGATTTTACCGTAGATTTGCTGTATACGCACAGAAAGTCCTACCCAATTAGGATATATCTGCACACATCACCGGTTGAAGAGCAGGTACGTGTGGCATCTTAAAGAAAAGTAATGATAAAGAATTTTGTGTTCAACTATGTCATCCTATACAACTTGACAACCCTCAATGTATTATTCAAGTGTACCTGTGCATACTGTAGAATTTACAAATAGTTCAGTCAGGCATTGAGCATTGAATATGTTTAAATGTAATTTTACACCACGTAATATTGGGTGACGCATATACGACATCATCAGAATGTCTCTATGTATACTGGACAAAAACAGTTAGGGATATATGTAAATTTTGAAATTATGAATAATGATGTATTTATTCATTGACACACTGATGAAATATCAATCATAAAAATACCAATATCCCTAACTTATTTTGTCCAATATATTATTACAGACTGTCGAGGAGGGCTGCCCAGGAGATGAGGAGCCTGATGCGGTTGCGATAGATAATACCTCAGTGGTAAACGTCTGAACACACATGATATATTCTGTAGCTCAAAAGGGGTCACAAGCTAAGAACAGAATGCATGTTTCATAAATCTGGTCAGAGTTGGTATTATTATATTTAGTATTGAATAATGAAAGCGTAATGCTGTTTAACATGAATATTTTCCACATGCTTCCCATTAAAAGAGAATGTAACATACATGAATTATGGCTTATCACGTTCTGTAACCTGAGCCTGAAAAGTCAGATAAGCGATTATTTAACATCACTTTGAACAGTTATATGACGGTGGCGGTCCGTTGTGGGAGGTAAGTCTGAGGTTGTGAGTGAGCGAGTTTACTTTTACGCCGCACTCAGCAATGTTCCAGCTATATGGCGGCGGTCTGGAAATAATCGAGCCTGAACCAGACAATCCAGTGATCAACAGCATGAGCATCGATCTGTACAATTGGGAACCGATGGCGTGTGTCAACCAAGTCAGCGAGCCTGACCAACCGATCCCGTTAGTCGCCTCTTACGACAAACATGGGTTACTGAAGAACGATATTCCAACCCGGACCTTTACGGAAATCTGAGGTTGTGACAAAACTGTGGGTATGGCTTGTATTCAGGGCAAATGAGGGATTTGACCATACGTTCATCTGATTCTGTGCTGGAAGCTGTAGCGCCTTAGGCGTGTTCCATAAGGCAAATAACGAATATTTCTTTGTGAACATGAATTCGAAAGGTGTTAGTTTTCTGCGTAGAGATAACTTCTAAAACATATGGGCAACGTATTTAATGAATATTAATTAGGAACACAAATGTGATCAACCCGTCGAAATTCTGTGCCTGTAAATTAAGTAATATAGTATGACCAGAAATTATTGAGAATTTTAGGAATATGTTTATTTGGATTACTAGTATAAACAACCTTGACCAGCTCTCAAGTGCTTGGTTTGATTCAAGGGAGACAACTCCGTTAATCCTTTTTCATTAGTTTGTGGAGAGTTATCCCCCTTTGTTTACTTGCTAGCAGACGACATTTTCAGTGATCCTCAGAATGGATGATTTAGAGAAGAGGAAGTTGATTTTAGAGTATTGTAACAAGGACATCAGATCAGTTAAAGTGATTTCAAGTAAAAAAGGCATCCCTTTGTCCACTATTTATCGTGTTTTGAAAGATATTGCAAATGGATATGGCATTGTGCACCAGGGAGGCGCAGGTAGGCTCAGAAAATTGACTGTCGTTGACAGGAGGCGGCTTGGTATTCTTGTTTCTAAAAACAAACAAAGGAGTTTAGAAACCTTAAGGCTGGATTTGATTGATAGAGGAACTGTGGTTGTCTGTGTGGAGACAATTAGAACTGAGCTGCATGCAATGGGTTGGCAGAAAAGTCGAGGAATTCCATCACCGATCATGAAACCTGAACAAAAGGAGCGAATGACGACCTGGTTCTTACATCATAAAAATTTAACTGGGTCAATGAGATTTTCTCAGATGAAAGTTCTGTGTGGCTGTTTCCTAATACACTGAAATTCTGGACCAAACAAACTGAAAAACCTTTGTATCATCGCCCAAAGTACAGTCCGAAATTTAACGTGTGGGGTGGCATATCTTTGTTAGGGGCAACGTCCCTCTGTGTATTTGAAGGGAATATGAACAGTGAACGGTACACAGATATTCTCGAGGGACATTTACTTCCATCTGCTCACGTGTCCTAAGGACATCTTTTGATTTTCCAGCAGAACAACGACCCAAAACATCGTTCAAAGCATTCACAGGCCTGGTTTCGGATCCAAAATATGACTTTATTAGATTGGCCAAGCTATAGCCTTGACCTAAATCCAATAGAAAATGTTTGGGGACTTATGAAGGAAAGTGTCAATAAGAAAAATCTGACAAATGTTGCTGAAATGAAAGAAGAGGTGGTCCGATAGTGGGACAGCATGGACCACGACTTTCTAACTTCTTTGATCAGTAGTATGCCCCGCCGCATTGAAGCCTGCATTGGTGCCCATGGTGACTTGACAAAATACTAACTGTTCACCTGTCTTTGAATCTGGATTTATGTTCTGCTAAATATTCACATTTAATACGTGAGTAATGAGTGAAAAAAATATATAAAAATTACAATCTTTAAGTTCTCAATACTTTCTGGTTGTACTGTATACCTTATAGAAATAAAGTCACGTGTGATAGATTGTTTTATGTGTTTTGGCACAGGTGATGGATATTGATGAGAGTACGTCAGATGACGGAGATGAGCTCCCTTCACTGGATAGTGGGACACCAACCATTGTCTTTAATGAAAGGCATGGCCCTGTAATGGTATAGTAGTGAAAGCTTGGCGCTTCGTCGTTTTCTAATGTTTTCATTGAGACGTGAACACATTTCTACACCGGAAAAATCGATTGGTAATGTTAAGTGTTCACTTTTGTTATTTAACACCGAAGTCAACAAAAAGAATAGTACATAAATGCAGGAAATAATACCCTGCGATTTCTGTAGATTTAAGTTGTGAATTAATGTTATGCCATAATTATATACAACATAATATAAATATCGTTGTGCATATTGAAGTGTTATAAATAGTGCGGAAAGCAACTGAGTATGTTTAACTGTATGTCATTTTACACTGCAACTGCATATTTAGCTCCGAGAGCACACAGAGCGTGGGCACAGTCAAGACGAGATTGCCATCACTGATGAAGATCTGGAGCAGCCAACTGAAAGAGAAGTGTAATGATGTTACACATACTTTTTTCTTAATTTTATACGGGTGTTGTTTAAATGAGTAATTATGAATGCGGTCAGATGCTATATCCAGTAGCCCATGCTGTTGTTTCTTTCTTGCTTCTTTGACGCTTTTCTACTCAGATGTAGGGGCGGTGGGGTAGCCTAATGATTAAAGAGTCGGCTCGCTACGCTGACGACCCGGGTTCGAATCCCCACATGGGCACAATGTGTGAAGCTCAATTATGGTGTCTCCCGCCGCGATATTGCTGGAATATTGCTCAAAGCGGCGTAAAACCAAACTCACTCCCTCACTCACTCAAATGTAATGTTTCCAGATCTGATGAGAGTGTCCACAACATACTTCTGAGACTCAACGGCTGCACGAATGTGGGTCGCTATAACCTGGTAAACGTCACACGGGATAACGTCCTCCCAGGAGCCTTGAGGGCGTTCAACAGAGCGTCATTTAATGCCACCAACCAGCTCTCGGTGAAATTCGCTGGAGAATTCGGTATTGATGAGGGAGGGCCAAGCAGGGAGTTCCTTCGTCTTCTCCTCACGGAGGTCTCGTCCATGCCAATATTCATTGGTACTGATGAGTGCAAACTCCTTGATCTAAACTACCCAGGTGATACACATATCACAGTATATCCAAGAATGTTAAAATATACAAAAATATTATATATAAGATAATTTCCATTTCATCTTTCGTATTTATGATTATCAGCAGAACTAAATTTATATACAACATCTAAGGACATCGTCCACCTTCATGGTAAGTTAGGATAAACAATAGAGCCTTTTGACTTACTACGCGCCCCCAAAATACAAACCTATTTTTGCCATTTATTTTCAGTTATCTTTTGAGATGGCGTATCAGGTATCGGTTCCATGCTTGGATTATATACTTATTCACAATACAATGGTGGAGGAATAGACATGTGTGCACCTAACAAAACAAACACTTCCTTGCTTAGATGTTTAATCTTAGCTGAATGTTGTGGAGCATGTATAGGCTTCCTCCAATATCCTGTCACCATCACATCCTGGCTTACAGGGGCGGTGGGTAGCCTAGTGGTTAAAGCACTGGCTCGTCACGCCGAAGACCCGGGTTCGAATCCCCACAAGGGTACAATGTGTGAAGCCCATTTCTGGTGTTCCCCGCAGTGATGTTGCTGGAATATTGCTAATAGCGACATAAAACCCAACTCAGTCAGTCCTGGCTTACATTTCTGTTTTGGCTAAGCGTAGACTGTAACACTCTTTTGATTTCTCAATATCCATATTCTTCACTGTCAGTTATCTGGGACCACAACTAACTAACTGCTCAAGCGCATGACCAAAAAATTTCACTTCCTTTCTGGAAGAATTTTGTCAACAAGGAAGAGTATTTTTTATCATGTTGAAAGCGGATTTAGATTTTCAAAATGTCCTTTTCAACAGCTATATATAATAATCTTAAAGGACCTAAACTTTGGCATTCATATTTCTCCTTTGAATGACCTATATTTTCTTTTCTCACAATTTATGCTGACAATGCTTGAATATCGATTCTGACATCCCGTATGTAGTGTCTGCTTTTGTCAACTATCTATACAAGTAAGGTGCTGGGTATTTGCAGTAGAGTTGTCATGTCAATTGTCATAGTAGCTTTATGCATGCGAGTGCAGTGTGTTCTGTGTCTGTATCTGTAACTTTATTAATAGACAATAGTTATCCGAAACACATACATCCGTAATACCACATCTTTGTATAAACGTTGCACAGGTGTTTGGATATTAAATTATGTAACTTATCAATGATTAGAACGAAACTAAATTGAATATCAGCATGGTTTATTTTAATATCACAAGTTTTACACTGAATGCAATTAATAGAATGATAAATGGACATTTTGTATTACTATCGGATTATTTTCACTCAAAATTCAGGAAGGCTTGCGTGTGTATACGTCAGCGAATGAGAGTATTGCAAAAGAGTGAGTGAGAATAAATTTCGTGTTTTCATCTCAATATGCATTATTTTATATTTTAGCCTTACAAAGCAAAACTTATCAGACTGTTGGAGTGATGATGGCATATTCCCTTGTTCACGGGGGGCCACAACCGTCCTTTCTCAGCCCACTCCTTTATGACGTCATCGTCGGAGGTATAGACGCTGCAGCACCTACTATTGACCACATTTACCATCCTGAGTACAAGGAACAAATAACTAAGGTAAAGTACTTTTTCCGTTCTCGGTCATGTGCTTGCAAAATAAACATACAATATCAGTATTTGTATAACCATAAATATGTCTGGTTACAAAGAACAATATCCAGGACATTTGTTATTGAACGTGCCTGTTTCGCAAACACACCGACAGTCCTATAGGATTCTAAGTTCTTTTCAGCTGTGCCAAGCAGAGGACACGTCAGCAGTGCCAGAAGCTGAGGAGTTGATCCTCCTTGCAGGATGTGGCGCAATGATGTACAGGGCAGATCGGAAGGACGAGATGATTACAGCACTCATTCATTTCCTGGTTCTGGGTCGTGTGTCACATTGCATTGACCAGTGAGTGTAATATACTTCAAATACATTTATTTTGCTATAATAGTATTATATAATCTCACAAGAACAGCAAAGATGTAATAATGGTGCGTGTTCACTTTCTGTGGGGTAACAAGTTGATCATGTGTTATACTTGTGGAAACATTTGGATGTCTTTATTAAAAGCTTGCCCTCTCAATCGACTCATTGTAGATTCTGTCATGGACTCGAAACCCTGGGGGTGCTCGAGGCAGTGAGGCAAAACAGGCACAGCATGAAAGAGCTGTTTGTTCATGAGGACCACAGCATAGATTCCTCGACTTTTGAACTCATCTATACACCAGTGTTTAGCGAGGAAGGTAGTAATACACACAGGCTTGAGAAATTGGTGCACTCAAACTGGAGAGACGTCCTGCTGGATATTGAAGGTATTTGCAAGTCTCTTTAGGCAACATAGTGGTTAATGAATAAGTTGTTTTTTATGGATATACAACTTCTTTATTCTGTACAGGCGACGTTTTGACATAGATTCTACTGTCGTAGTAAGGCAAGTGGTTCCATGAGAAGTATTTTTGGGTGATATATATATATATGTGTGTGTGTGTGTGTGTGTACGTACATACATACATACATACATACATACATACATACATACATACATACATACTATACATACATACATACATATGTATATATATATATATATATATACATATGACATGTTTGGACAATAGATGAGGGATGAGGCTGTATTATTATCCTCTACTAATTAGTATAAACAAGTCATTTTCGCCTCTCAGGGACATCTATTGTTTGGGGTATAGATAAGGGTGAGGCGAACATGAGTTCTGTCGAAACGTCGCCTATACAGAATAAAGAAGTTGTATATCCATAAAAATAGTCCTCATTCTTCATCTACTCAACTTCTAGAATGACAATCAAAGAAAATATTGTGGTCAGTCTTCTTATTGCATGTATACTTGATATTATATGGGTCTTAGCATGATAAACAACTGCGATTTCTTTTATCTGTAAGGAACTATCATGCTTTCGCCTAAGAATCAATGTGTTGATATAACGTCATAACTGAAACCAGACATTGATACGTTTGAATTCGCGAGTTATAGGTTTGTACAACTTCACTATTTCCAGAGGGTGTGGAAGATACGTCTCTGAAGGATGTTGCTGATATTTTCAACTGGTGCCGACAGAGTTCCGCCACTTGGTCTCCGACCGCAGCCAACCCTAACGTTTCACCAGTGTGACCCACTTTCAGCAGAGGCAAAAGAGAACTTTCCGTTCGCCAACACATGTTCAAACACATTATCTTTGCCGCTAATTGCGTGTTATGATATGTTCAAAAGGAACATGGTTGCAGCTGTAAAAGTCCACCTATTTACTACAGAGTAAAGATGTAGTTGTACGGTTCCATAGTTATTACACGACCTGTAGGGGGAATTAAGACCCTTTGATCATGTAATACATTGTACAAGCTGCATAAATATACGTGTATTAAAATACACTCTTATCTTGAAATAGAATAATCATTTACCTAACAACACAGGAAAAGCTAACCAGAATATACCATTATTATGTTAGCATCACATTAACCTTCTTATGACACTTATGTTTGGACTACGTAAATACTGTTTCTATGCATTGCATGGATACATGCAGGCATTGCTTTGTTTAGAATATCACTTGGATAATGAGACAAATGTGTCCTTATGAGCTCATTTAGCAACTTCAGTTATTATTCTCTTTTAGTTTGTCAACACCTGTGATTCAGAATCTATGGAAAGATGTACACATACATTACTTTTAACAATTGAGAAATAGTAGAACTTAATATCATTTTATACAGTTCCGTCATATGAGTAAGACATTCAGAAACGTAATTGGTGTAGAGAGTATTTTTACACACGACAGGCTCATTACGTTTTTATTTAAACAATGTATATTTCGAATGTGCATACTACGAAGGTAACAGTTTTGAAGATGACAAATGGCCTACATTTATAATCTCTTTTGAATTTTAGTTTACAGTGAATAGTATTTTACACAAGACAGTACTTGCGTGAGACATGATTTATAATTGAAAAGTTGATTACGGTTTTGTTTCAACCATTATTTTCAGTATGTTATTCGTATGGAATAATTATTAGTTCGGGTTTAAAGTCAAACCCTCTGTTTGTAATCCTAACAATAATTCGGCGCCTACATGAGAGTCATATAAAAGGGGGGCATTAATGAAAGTGACAAGATGCTTCAGATGAAGAGGTTTGAACTGTTTGAAAAATGTGACTCCATGTCTCCTAACATTCTTTAATAAAGTCATATTTGATGCACGTTTCCCTCCAGTTTTGACACGAGCCAAGCATATAGGTCAAGAGCTTCCTGGGTATCCTTTGGCTCTGTCTTCCCGTTGAGGATTAGGAGATTCTGACAGACGTCTTCGAACTCTTCTTCACATCCCGAAGGGCGAGGTATGGTGCACATTGACTGAATAGCGTGGATGTCTCGTGCGTCAACTTCAGTCTTGAAATCAACAGTGCCTGAAACATATACGAAGGGTTTAACGCAGTGTCACAACAAGTATAAACGACACACATTTCGCGAGTTTTGGGGTGGAACCCGGGTCAAAGCGTAACATGCCAACGAGTTATCTTATAACATCTTTCTACCGTAAGATATGGAAAGTTATGTTTATGCATTAACTGCAACACAACATGGACAATACTGTTGGTGACTCCAGTGAATCCTACCATATTCAGATGGAAGAAAAAAGAGAAGATCTGGCTTTCCACTGACATCTGCCCCCGTTCGCCTAACCCTGTGCTGGTTCCATTCATTGGCGATCTGGTCAAGCTCAGTCTGTATCAGCCGAGTGAAACAGAACCTCAAACACTCCCTGTTCAAAAAACAGATGTTGCACTTTTGACAGTTAATGTTTACTGATGAACTAAGTGTAAATGTAAAATCCTCGTGTACACTGTAAATTCGCTAAATAAGTCTGTATAACGGGTTTTACGGTCATATATTCATAAATGCAAATCGTGTGTTGAAATTCATTCCTATGGTAACAGTAACAGCTTCACATGCAGCTTTTATAATCAACAAAACAAACACACATGTTAGAGAACGATACGAAATCAGAAAAGAGTTGTGTGCTCGTTGGCGTTGCCTACCTTTCTTAGGTTTATTGAAACAAATGCAAAACACACTGCTTGGTTTGCCAATTAAATATGTATGAACCAATAGCAATTCTATTTTCATATTAACAAAACATTATGAAATTATCTATTTCAATGTTGAATACAGCAAAATATAATGAAAGAAATAGTTGTGATTGCTACTTACATGTGAAGGTTGTTGTCAGTTGATACAATGCCCTGAGATTCCATGTCCTTGAACAAGTTGATCCAGTAATCCGCACCATTTTGTCTCAAGGACAACCACCATCTTTCTATTCTCTGCAATAAACAATGCTTCTTTCAAAGTCAGTTACACATGCATTTATTTAGTGCTGAATGCTCCCAGTCATATCGATGTGTATAACACATGGAAAATAGACTTGACCTCTATAAGACATATTAAAACATTCCATGAAAATATCTTGTTTGAGTGGCATTGTTGGTGTGGTGAACAGCAGGGAGTGTTCAATAGATATACAACTTCTTTATTATTAATATGAGCGACGTTTCGGTGTAGCTACTTACACCGTTACCAAGCAAGAGATGTACAATACTGCAGGCAAGGCTATATATACATAGTCAAGTTTGAACAGTAAGTTGATTGATGTCTACACAATTAATGAGGTTTATGTACAGCGTTTACACAAAAAGGCAACTGTTACATGTACATTTTGTTACTATGTATATATAGCCTTTCTTGCAGTATTGTACATCTCATGCTTGATGACAGTGTTAGTAGCTACGCCGAAACGTAGCTCAATAGTACAGAAGGTGTATATCTATCTATCTTCCTCAGTTGTTCTATGAAAATAGGAGGTGTTTTCATCTTTAGATGTCACTGAAACAACGTGAACAGAAACTACCATGTGTGATGAAAAGAAAACCCTTTCCACATCCATACGAAATCACTACTAAAAGCAGAGTGGATAATTCCGACTATGTCATGAGCTGTTTTATAGTGATGATACTCGGTGTATTGTGAGCTAATGCTTCATACTTAGGAATAAGTATCAGGGTTTATATGTTTTTGAGTTCAGTAAAAACCTGATTTCTGTGAGAACTGCCATACAAGACACTGTTTTCTCCTGCCATATCATCCGTGTGTGACCACCTCATTGCTTTTTGTATATCTTCAATAAATACGTTCTCAGTCCCCCTGTCCATTCTTATGCAGCGGGGAACCCCTGAAAGGAAAACAAATACTGTTCAGTATACCGTTAATGCAATGTACGGCACCACAATGCATCATATTTAACATAGTTACCGTTGTCGAACATTTCCTACGTTATAACATATGTTATATTTGGGATTACACTTTCTCAGTAAAGTACAGATTCTAGTACTTTTGATGGAGTGAGTCCCATTCTGGATTCGAACCCACACCCTCAGAGTCACGCAACTTATAGCTAGCACACAAAGTCAGCCACCTAACCCGGTCAGCCACCGCTGAGTTACATTTGACCACTCTGTAAATAGCACTGTGTATTCATTTCCAACGCTGACTTGATGCAAAGTACAACTTTTGTGAATTGGAATTAGAGCGGCGTTAAAATCCAACATAATTGGGATCTCAAGTTGTTTGAGGTTCTGAATGTATCAGAAATACAACTGTAGTCTGAAACATTGGAAACAGAAGTCATGCATTAGGCCAAAACGATGATACTATACTCCTCCAGAGTCTCCATTACCTCCAATACTGTCCACGTAGTGCAGGAAATAGTGACCTACAACATATGGATCTTTGTTACTTCTGCCAACTTTGAGCCATAGTATTCGTCTTGAAAAGCTGAAAATGATATTAAAGTATATATATGCCTTCATTCAAATTTCCTTAACTATGTAAGAATGACAACATGGTGTCTGGTACTAATAATTATTATATAATATTTAGTATGAACTTACCCGCAAATAGCGCCGTGAATAGCAAAACCAAATGGTGTAATCTTGTCGTAGCCATCTATATGTACAAGATAATTGGGTCCCTTGTTACTGTACAGTCGTCTTGAAAAACGTTGGGTCCTTCGGGCAGATACTCTGTCTGGGTCGACAATCCTCAGTATCTCCATGACCATATGCCTAGTATGAATAGGAGTCGTATATTTCGGATAGAATTATGAGAAACTGATGTGAATAACTTCGACGAGACGAGCGAGCGATTTATCCACTAGGCTACCACCACCGAACCTCACAATAAACAATATTCCACTGACGATGTATTCTTTGACATTTTATGCCTGAACAATACCATTGTCGCTTGTTGCCCATTTACATTTTATAATTTGTAAAGACACGGATAGTGCACAGGATACTTCTACCTTGGTACTCTGAGACCATGAACATTTCTTAGGCGTTCAGTCATGCTTCTGTAACCGAGACAGGTACCACTACCTTGCAGCTCATTCTGAAAAGAACAGAATAACTAAGAATAAAGCGTGCATGCGTGTATGTGTACATATATCAAAGACAAATAAAGTTTGATAGCACATTAAGGATGAAAAAGGTCTTACCTGAATAGCCCTTATAACTCTTTCAGGATCTATACATCCCAAACGACGCCTCAGACCAAGTGTGCTGAGCGTTCGCTTCAGAGTTCGTATGCTGAAAGATTTACAGTTGCCTTTTTACTCATTTAACATGCTACGCGTAAGCAACAGTATGGGTTTATTACCATTCATTAAAGATGTGCTTTCTTTATGCTATAGTTACACGACACATGTTGTTAGTATAAAGAAGAAGGAACACACCTGATGTGTATGTCGTGATTGCAGCTGAGGAGACAGCAGATCTCCCGATTCGTATATCCAGCTGAGAAGTACGTGCTGACAGCACCATGTCCTGGAAACATTCATACATTAACAGCAAAAGCAGCACCATTTCTAAAAAATCAGTAATTAGGGTATTTTCTGAAGAATGAAATACGAAGGATTATACAAGAACAACATAAATGCGTATAACAGTTACTAGCTGGTGATAACTACTAATTTACTTACGACATCATCTCTAATAATAATACTAAAATCTTACCGTCACTGCTGTTACTATTTTGGTTCATATTATATGGTGGCTGAATGTTTACTAATATGATCTTACATTACAAATGGCGAGTCGGTTTCCGTTTGTGCATGCGCAGATCTAACAAGTGAACATATCGCAATATCGCCGTATCGCAATATCGCAATATCGCCGTATCGCAATATCGTATCGCCGTATCGCAATATCGCCGTATCGCAATATCGCAGAATCGCTATATCGCAATATCGCCGTATCGCCATGTCGTGTCGTGTTATCGCCATATTGTGTCGTGTTATCGCCATTTCGTGTCGTGTTATCGCCATATCGTGTCCTGTTATCGCCATTTCGTGTCGAGTTGTTGCCATTTCGTGTCGTGTTATCGCCATATCGTGTCTTGTTATCGCCATGTCGTGTCGTGATTTCGCTATTTCGTTTTTGGCTGTATCGCAATATCGCTGTATCGTGTCGCCATATCGCAATATCGTGTCGTACTATCGCATTGTCGCGATATCGCCTTGATTTCTTCAGGGCGATAAAGCGATGGCCCGAATGAGCCACCAATACAAAGAGAAGGACATAACAATATCGACATGATTAATCAGTGGGTACCCGGTGGGATAAGAGTACTGCTAACCTTGGAGACAGTTTGGGTTAAAGGGGGCAATATAATAATGCTTGTGTTCTGCGCATAATTTGTCCTTAGCGCCACTGAGCATCAATTCCTGCAGCACTCATGGAACCATTTGTTGAAAATCTGGATAGGTGCTGAATTGTGTTCATGAATTTTCTGATCCAGCCGCTATGCAATTCTGATGTTCTTGAGACATACCTTCTGTGTAACCCCGACAGTGGAATATTGACAGTATTCTTCTGTTTACCCTGGAAATCGACTTGTCAGTGCATGTATTTGTATTCTGTGAACAATCTCTCAGCAAAATATATTGTAATTGATATTGAAACATGGGACAGTGTTGCTAATTCATCGTAATGTTATAAAGATTGGCCATGGTATTTATTTTGTGATTGCAATCAGCTGTGGTTTCGGTCTCTTGTTTTGTGTTTTGGAAATTTGCGTTGGCAATTTGTGGCATATCCAAAAACGTGTTGAAACTCTAAATTGGGATATTCAAACAGATATTTGTGAGCGGTTGCATGATTTCGTTAACGGTCATTTGATTGCGGACGATAAATATTCTGTAAACATTTTGTAATTATATGTTTGAAGAAGTAACGTTCTCACTGGCATTGCCTCTGATGATAGGATGTGCACAGATGAACAATTAGATAAATTCAAACGACTTGATTGTATGTTGAGTTTTATGTGGTGAAATAAGTGTTGACGTGAGATGAAATTATTTTTATAAGTAATTAAAATAAATAGATAATTACACATGTATAAAGCGCCTGTACCGCACAAGACCCTGATTTTCCAAGCTGCTTGAACAGAGAACTCACTTGCTGCCAAACATGCTCACCCATCCAAGGGCTCTCTATGTCGAAGGTTGCCTAACGTCAACTGATTTTTGACCTGGACTGTATGCACAAAATCACACACCACCGCTCCATTACATTCGGGATTACATAGAGACGTGCATATTTGTCTGTCTGTGCGCGTGCGCGTGCTTCATTGTGTGTACGTGTGTGTGTGTGTTTAGGGCAGTTTCAATATATAGGCCCAAATACTTGTTCTGCTTCTGAGCTCATCATAAACCTCGGAGTAGAGAGCAAACAGGTCCATGTGTACCCTAAATAGCGAGTGGCAGTGTGTAACGTACCATTTGTAACGTGTGTGGTGTGATGGCCTCATGGCTCTTTGCATAATCTCACTGTACCGAGCGAAAGGCGGAGTAACAACAAGTACCACCTTCAAGATGTTTTAGTATAACGAGGACTGGTATCGAACCAAGGTCCTTCCGCCCTCATGACATATGTCCTATCCACGATAACACGGATGCAGTCTTTACACCACTAGATGGAATGAACCTTGATGTTGTTATCACCGGTTTAACAGCTTTATGTTCGCAAAGTATTCAACGTCGACAGCAGCTTTAGGTTTGAGCCTCCAAAGGCAGTCACGCTGTGATATA